ATATTGGGAAATGCTCAAAAGAAGAGGAAAGTGGGACTTAGGAATCTGGTCATTTGTGATGACATAGATCAGCCTGTTCTGGAGGACATTATATTAAATAAAGCAAACCAGGCACAGAGAGAGACAAAAACTGCATGGTCTCTCTCTTTTGTGGAATCTAAAAGAGTTGATTTCATGAAAGTTGACAGAATAGCTGTTACCAGAGGTGGGGACAGAAAGATGCAGAGAGATTTGTCAACAAGCACAATCGCACAAATCTGGAGATTTTAATGCATTGTGTATTTCAAAATAGCCAGAGGACAGAATTCTGATTATTTGCCATAAAAATAATCAGTTTTTAAAGTGACAGATATGTAAATTACCCTGATTTGAGCATCATACAGTATAAGTATGTATCTAAACATCACACTGTACCCCATAAATATGTACAGTTACTATGTGTCAATCAAAAATAAAAATTAAACAAGAAAAAAAAGACCCTGACCTTTCAGAAGATGAATGACCCAGCCAATAGGAACCATGGATTTCAAGTGTATAAAGAATTATGTCAAAAACAAATTTCTCATCATATGCTTCCCTTCCCCAGCACATCCAACAGGCTTAAAATGTAGCTTGAAGTAATTAGGCTAAGTACAATTTTTGAAAATTTATTGTGGCATGGGGCTAGGTAAGAATACATTGAATAAGTTGACCTCTCTTTCCACCTATTGATCTTTCTACACGAAGTGGTTTTTTTTTCCTCAGATCCACACATGGCTTTCTCATTCACTTCATTTACATCTCTGGATGACAATGGATCAACAACAGTTAATAAATTATCAACTCCCCAAAGATGCTTCCACTGGCCATCCACTCAAAAGTAGCCATTCCTTCCCCACCAGCTTATCTCTCACTGTGCTTCATCACTTTCTTTCTAGCCTTCATCACTACCTGAAATTACAGTGTTACTAGTTCACTGTCTGTCTTCCATGTGAGAATGTACACTCCAGAGGATAGGGAGGTCTATCTTGCCCATCTTGTAGTGCCCAGAGCATTGCCTGGAAGGTAGTTAGTGTTCCACACAGTTTCTGAATGAACAAATATCTCAATCCGAAAGGATCTTTGAAACTTCTGCAGCTCTTATGAAAACCTGTCATGTTTCCTACCTTTTCTAGTGAGTAGAAGGGAGTTTTGTGAGAACTTGTTTCCAATATGGAAGCCCACAGAGACAAGTCTGGGGTTGGATGTCTGGGACATGAACTACAAGCCCTAGCTCACCCCTTCTTTGGTGTAGGAAGCCACCATTTCAGAGAAGAGGCAGCCCTAGGTTTGGATGGACCTTGGAGGAGCATGGAGCACTCAGCTCCAGGCAACTCCTGCTGCTTTCAGAAGGCAACCCACAGCTGCCAGCAGTGTAGAAGAGAATTTACTGACAGCTCAGAAAAAATGGAGGAACTGCAGGTTAAGTGAACTGGTCAGACACTGTTGGGTGAGTCTCAACATTTCTGATAGCTCAGAATACATCAAATACCAGTTTGGGGGATGTGGATCAAAGTACTTAGGTAGAGGTTACTTGCAGCAATTCTTGATTGATCTCACCTATACCTACACCTGTGACTAAATGAGACAAGACAATAGATTTGTATAATAATCTATGTATGCCCAGACTTCATTCAGATCAGGAAGGTCAGAAACTGGGCCATGGGGCCTGGGCACCATCAATATTTTTAAAAGTTCTCCAGAGGATACCAATGTATAATTCAGTTTAAAAATCACCAGAATAAAGCAAAATACAAACTTCATTACCCACCTTTGGATCCCTTTTATTTTTCCAAGGGTTTGGCTCTTTATGGAGAGGGAAGACTATTTTTACAGTATGAAAATATTGGAGAGAATCACCCCAAACTCTCACTCTCACAGACTCTGAAGTTCTTCATATAATTTTCCTTCTTTTGAGGGTTCAAATTTCTAGCTCTTTCTGAGTGCTCATATTGCAAGGCAGACAGCTAAGTTTGTAATACCACCAATGGAATTTCTAGAGAAAGACAAATATGGCAGGCTTCCATTCACCTGATTCCCTCTTCTCTTTAATTATATTGCTCTAAAAGCTTTGACAAAATTTGGAAAATTGGAGTCTGAACAGTTGCCATGGCAACCACCTAAAATCCACCAAGGAGTGACTTTTAAATTGCTGTGAGAAAGAGGTGCTGCCTCCACCCCTTTTAAATAAGCCACTGTACCTGTGAAGTGTGCCTTCTGGCTGCATCTCCCTGGTGTGGTTGCTTTCCTATGGGGCCTACATGTAGAAAGGGGGATCTATTAAAAAATGAATAAGCCTAAAAGCCAAGCAAGCTGAATGCAGGCAGCTGAGGCAGACCCTTGCCATGTGCCTGTCTTTCTGCTGACATCAAACATTAAAGACTGAAGAAAGGAACTCCTAGTTCCACTGCTTGCCTGTTACTGGCAACCAATGAGGAAGGTTACCTTTGTGGAAAGTCTGGTGCCCAGAATTTTACCTTTGAATCTCTTGTGACATTAAGTAATGGTCAATTTTTAACAAGGAGTTTACAGGTTTTCTAACAAATCTCTCACCCATCTTCATTTGTTCATTTTCCCTCTATTTAATAAGCACAATATAGATCGCTGTTTTGTCAGTGATGTCACTGGTTTACATTAGATGACTATGGGGGAGGGGCATGTTTTCTGGGTTGCTAATGTAGATGTGTGTATGGGGGACGAACACTTTCTGTGTCCTGGATTGTCACTGTACATTCAGCTGAAATGAGGACATTCCAATAAATTGGCAAATCAGAGCTTTATTACCTTCAGAGAATGTCTAAAATGATGATGATGATGATGATGGTGACAGCTGAAATTTATTGAGCACTGAATATGAGTTAAGCACTGTGTTCAATTTTTTTACATGCATAATTTTCTTTACTCTTCCTACTAACCCAATAAGGTAGGAACTTCTATCGTCTCACATTTTAAATGAGAAAACTGAGGCACAGATCAGGTAACTTGTCCATAGTAAACTAACCCATCACAGTCCAGAGCTATCAGCAGAAAGTATACATAATCCATATTTCTGGTGGGAGTATTTTCAGAAGAACCCCATAAAATTCTGAACGGCAGCATGAGCTGCTTCATTAAGTGCCCCTGACCACCTCCTTTTCCTCTTCCCCTCTAATCTCTTACAAAGCATATACTGCAGTCAAAGGGATTGACTCATTCAACTGCAGGATAGTATGCCTTCTTTCTTTCTGTATAAAGCTCTGCCATCTTTAAGTTTGAGTCCCTGTATTTCCATGAAGACATCCCAACCACTAAAATACAACCAACTCTAAGAACTTTGTGTCCCTTTAATTCCACTGAACAGGCTCTGTCCCTAACAAATATTGAGCCAGTGGTTATTTTACGTCTGTATCATAGACACATATATAAACATACCTAAAACTCCTCCTTGTGCAAGCACAATACCTGGTACACCACAAGTCTCAAATAAATATTTTCCCACTATTATTTTTTCAACCAAAAAGAGTTGGAAGAATCTTAGGATGTTCTTGGGACAAATGTGTAAACAGAGGATGGAAGGAGGCTGTGGAGTTTTATTCTCCATACCGTTCCAAAGATTGCTAGAGACATTTCTACCCAGTTACCTGCACTGGACTTTAAGCCATCTCTAAACTGGAGGGGCTTTGACAATTGCCCTCCCTTCTGGAGTGCTCATGACAGGTACCTGGCAGGATGGAGTCTCTGCACACACATTGCCATTCTGAATGCATCCATGGGCAGTGCCAAACCTTCCTATTCTAATTTTCTGAACCTTCATGAGACAGGTGGTAGACACTTCCACAGCACTGCCATAAGAATTGGCAACTACAGAGTCACACACTTACAACGTGCAAGAACAATACGTCAGATGACTGAATCCATTTCAAAAGACTGTTCAAATCTTCAATGACACAGCCATGTGTGATGCTAGTAACACTTAAATCCCCACCTGTGAGGTGCCAGAGTGTCACCTGGATTCCCAACAATAAAGAACAGAAGGACATCCTATAGGTAAGGATTAAAGCACAGATGGTATGTGTTTATGCAATGTTATTCCCCTTTTCTTCTCACAACCACAAAACAAACAACTGCTCTCGCTCTCTCTCTCTCTCTCTCTCTATGTATGTGTGTGTGCGTGCGTGAGTTGTTTGAATAAGAAGCTCTGCCAGCTATTTTGCTGAATGAGAAAGAAGAAATAAGATTCTCATTTTACAATCATGAAATCTTTTCTTAGTAGAAAACCATACTGACCAAGAACAACAAAAAGAATGAATAACATCAGAGGATGGTTACCCATGACAATTAAACAGTTGCTGTGGACACTCAGCAAGGACTGGTATGGGTAATTTTAAGCCTTAAGATGCAAAATTTATTTTTGCCTGAACTTTCTTTACGAACAACTGTGCAAGGAAAATGACTTGCTTCCTTTGTGCCTGACAAAGAAAATTTAGGCAGCTGCTCTTCAACTTCAATTTCCAGAGAGCTGGAGATTGAAACTGCCATCTGCAGGACAGCTTTTGTTCAATTTGAAGATCACATCACAGGGTATTTAAGTGATAAGCCATGAACCAGTTATGTTCCACTGTCAGGACATTCCAAATGAGATGGGTATTATGTGTGCTTTCTCTAGTTAATCATTGATTTTAAACCCCTGTTGACACTAAGGACTGGCAAATTCTCTTTACTAACAAAGGTACAATAGAATGTGAAAAATGTCTACTGGGAAAGAGATGACCAGGGATCACCTGACAGAAGAAACAAGGGGAAAAAAAAGCAGACAATGCCGGAGCTTACCATAGTTAAAAATAACTTATTCTAATTAATACAGCTAGTCACTTAGCACTTGCCTTTCTACCACAGACTGTGAGAGGAAAACTATTAACCAAAGTATTATTTCCCTACACTACAAAGGCTCTGCCAAGCAGCTTCAGAAAACAAGAATGAAAAATAAGATTGCAGGTGCATACCTTAACCTCCTGATTGTTAAAGACCTCGACATCCACCACACAGGCAACCAGAGTAGAAACATCACAGTCCATGCTAGGGGCTGGCATTCCCCCTGCTGAATTGTCAGAAAAGTGCTAGGTAGCCTTAGAGTTGTGATCGCAGGCAAGAGCCTCCGGATGGATGCTGCTGTGGCCAGGCCCGGTGCTGCCCTGCTCTGGGGATAGGCTGGAAGCTCGGGCACCTGGAGTCCGCTCCCGCTGCACGCAGTCCTCAGCGTCTGAGGCAGCACAGCAGAGTAACGAACGGCCCAGCTTGCTCACGGCAATGACATCACCACAAAGACTGACACGAGCTGAAGCTGTTTTTTTTTTCTCCAAGCCTTTTATCTCTAGGCAGTGCAGTGGAGCAAATTTAACATGATTATGTGGTAAATCTGAACTCAGACTAAATCAATTCAGGCAGCGTTAGTGAGGAACTGAGTCATAGCCATTGTTTCAGCTTATGTTTGCAAAAAACGGAGTGGTGGCGGGGGGCGGAATCTGACACCAGAGGTTTGGCTTGGGTGGGAGGGGTGAGGGTAATTCTGCAGATGGGCCTCCTGAGGTTAAGGTTTGACAATTTTTTTGTTTTCTGCCTCAGAGACGAGCAGGAAGTTGGAGGCATTTTGCAAATTGCTTGGCTTCTGTTAATTACTCTGTGCCACTCGGAGCAGCCACACATGTTCTGAGCATTCTAATGTATCCTGGGAAGGGGCTGAATAGAAATCCGTTCTTGGAGTGACTAAAGAGCTGGTCGTCAGTCATTTAGGCAGCCTGGTAAGACGAGAGATAATTAGAGGTCTGTAGAAATTCTACTTGAAGTACATAAGTACAGACCAGTAACTTAAAGCACGCATCTAAAAGCTCTGAATTTCAGGCTATCTCCAAGGTCATTCAAAGCAAAGGCTGTCCGGTGGAAAGGAGTTTTGGTAAATGTCCCACCCACAGACAGATGGCAGGTTCTAATGGGCAAATTCACTGATGTAGGTCACTGTCAGAGTGTTGGGGCTCTATTTTGCTTGAGACTTTGGACACAACCCTTTGCTTCCTTGGCTTCTTTTTCCTGAAGGTTAATCATTGATGGGTAGAGCTGTGGATAACTTAACTTCATGTCTTGAGCCTTTCGCAGAGTGGCTGGCTCGAGAAGATGGTATGTGTGTAATGACCAAATCAATCAAACACAAATAGCCTTTCTTTCACAGTAGGAGTGGGCAACGGAAAGAACCATCAGATTGGTTTTAATTTCCTCATTGGTAACACAAGTCCCATGAGAATGTACTAACGTTCTAGTAGCATCTGTCCCCTGTAGGGAGTGAAGCTGTATCTTCAGGTGCCATTAGAGCATCATGCTTTATAACAGATTGGCTCCTTCCTAACACACGACTGGACAAAGCTTTTCAATTTTACATGCAGATGAGAAAGGTGACACTTCAGCCTGAAGGGTAGAAGTTTCGTGATTGGGTCCTCATTGGATTACATTTGAGTACCAATGTTCCCTTTATCCAGGCATTTTCTATGCTAAAGGAAATCAGTTCACAAATACAGATATTTAGATTAGATTAATAAAAGTGTATGTGTTCATATGGCACATATTATATTGTATAGGACTTGTGGGGAACATGCAGTCATGTATGCATATAACTCAACTAGCGCTTTTTTTTTGTTCTTATGATACTGGGGTTTGAACTCAGGTTTGCTAGGCAAATACTGCTCCTTCAGCCAGGCCCCAAGTCCTTTTGCTTCTAGTTTGTTTTTCATATAGGGACTGCTAATTTTTGCCTTGGCTGGTCTTGTACTTAGATCTTCCTATCTCTGAGTAGCTGGGATTCCCACACCAGCCCATCAACTAACACTTTTTTGAGGATAGCTATATATTCATGCTCTTAAGGATAATGTGATAAAAAAGCAGTCTTCACCATCCTCTTGAGGCTTAACAAAATCCAGGGAGCTGATAAGACATGGAAACGAACACTTATGTAGAGACAAAGCAGTGGTGCTGAGGGTTGGAGAGGCATGGGCAGCACTGTGTGGGAGCACTAGAGAAATGTGCCAAATATTAGCTAACATATTGGAATGGCAGATGAACACCAAGGACAAGCACAGACCTCTGCTCTGACCTTCAAACATGGGTAACACTTTGGCTGGCAGAAGAGTGAGGGGAGCTCTCCAGCCAGGACAAAGCAGACTAGAAATGCCCAAAGGAAAGAAAGAATACAATATCTGGGGCATGTCACATTGAAGGTCAAATTTTAAGCCTGAAGGAAACAAGGTAGCAAGAGCTAGATAATGCAAAACCTTGAGGGGCCCTTAGTGTCTATCTGGCCAACTGTAGAGTACCAGGCAAAGTTTCTGAGAAGGTAAATGGAGTCTATGCATACATAAATATAGCTAAAATGTAAAGTATATACAAGGGTCAATATAATTTTTGAATACTTATGCTATCTACTTAAGAGGCAAAACAAAGAAGTGAATATTTTTCATATGCCATGGAATGTCTTAAAATTTACTTTTTAAGGTTTCATGGAGGTGGCATACAGGTAAATTTCTACACCGCAATCTCAGAAAGAAAAAAAAAATCTCATTTGTAGTGTTTCTGATTTCTGCAGTGTATTTCCAAGGACTTAAAGGATGCCTAGCACTTAGGAAGTACTCTCATAAATACCTGAAATATGAATGGATAAATAAATGAGTGAATCTTAAAAGGTGAGCAGAAGTGCTCAAGTCAATGATACAGGGTTTATTGGGATGCACTTGCATGTATGTGAGTTCAGAGAGGACCCCTAATCTCTGACAGATGAGCCCAGGCACAGCTCTGTTCAGGAGTGTCCTTTTCAGCTTAATCAGCCAGAACATTCTGGGATTCACCCAAACCACTGCTCTTCCCACAAGTGACCACATGGAGGAAAAGGATGCTGTATGATACAGACACCTTAGATAGCAGTCATTTCCCCTCCTCTCAGTCCAGTCCATTCTCTAGTGGGAGTAGCAGCAGAGCTGATATATTCACCTTCACTTGGGCCGGGTACAGCTGTATGCCTTCCAATCCAGGGGTGGCTGTAGCACCAGGAGCCACGTCTGTTTTGAAGAAGAAGCTCCCATTTTAGCTAGGGGTTGTAAAAGGCATAGAGTCATCTATGTGTCCTCCTGGATCAGTTGTTTCTAATCTTTATTATAGGAATTTCAAACACAATCAGAAATAGAACACAATGAGCCTTTATGTACCTACCACCCAGGCATGAGAATAATTAATGGAGGGCCAATCTGGCTTCCTCTGTCAGTGGTACTCAGAGTGTGGTCCCCAGATCAACAACATCAGTATCACTTGGGAACTTTTGGAAAAGCAGATTCTTAGGCCTGCCCAAGGTGGTATCAGATACTCGAGAGGAGAGGTTACTATCTGTAGCTTAATAAATCCCCCAGGGTGATTCTGTTGCATGCTGAAGTCTTAGAACTTTGTTCCAGGCCCCATCCACTTCCATACTCATTTATTTTGAAGCAGACACTGACTTCACTTCATCTATAGAAATATTTCAGTATACATCTCCAAAAGACAGGATTCCTCTTTTGCAATTATGATATGTATCACCACATACCTCCCCAAAGCAAGAATCTTTCCTTATTATCCTCAAGTATCCCACTAGTGTTCATATATTTTCAACTTTAGCACAATGTCTTCTTACCTCCCATCCCTTCTCTTTGGCCCCATTCTGCTGCCCACTCCCTTCTTTCCTGTTTAAAAATTTATTTAAATTTGGATCCAGATTAGTGTGTCCCTTATATCTCTTTTAGTTTATGAAGTTCTCCATCTCTTTTTTTCCCCTTTCTTGTAGCTCATTATTGTTAATGATGAAATCATGTTATCTGCCCTTTAGACTTTCCCTCAGTGTGGATTTTCTTGCAAACATCACAGAATATCATTTAGATGGTTTTCCCATTGTCTACAGGTCCTGTGTGATTCACCCATAGGCTTAAGAGATATAGATGTGGCAAGACTCCTTCATATATGGTGTTGTGTGCTACTGTCAGTGCGTATGTAACACATGGATGGCTCTCTTTTTGATGTTAATGGTCCTCCATGCTCAATGCTTTTATCTGTTCCACTAAGAGTTGCAAAGTGATAGTATTCTTTCTTCATTTATTTGATAATTTCCTTCCTTATTATCCTCCAAAGATTATTGACTTTTCTTTCTAAAGTATCATAATAAACTCCAGGATTAGACATATTTGATGGATTTTAATCCATTTCAGTTTTATCTAATTGATGCTCAGATTGCCCATCTTTGGCTTACAGGAGTCTAAAGAGGTTGGCTCCTCAGTCCTTTTGACAGATCCCAGTATTCTTTGAGGGGTAACTGGCCTTCTGGTGTGACAAGATGTTCCAGCCTTGTTCATTTCCTGCCCCAGATAAGGAGTAAGGCATTTCTCCAAGGAGCCCAGGTTCCATTAAGTAAGTATTTCAACCTATCTTAAGATCAGGATCCATATACTTAGAGCTGATCTTTGCACTGGGCTAGGTATTGTTTATTAAGGCTCTTCACTAGACAGGGCTATTTTAAAGATAACATATTTCATGAGTTCAGACTGATAATTCCAATTCAAGTCCTGGATTATAGGCTTTCCCTGAAACCCTTCAGTTTTATAACTGTATCCCCTTTCTTCACCACAAATATCTTTGCTCTTACCAGCAACATAATTAGTCATTTGCCTTATCCCATACAACACACACAGCCACTTCAGGATCATGGCATAGATGCTACCAGGAAGGTTTTTTTCTAGCTGTTATTGTCCTTAGGATATATTCCATAAAGCATGCACAAATTATTACATTTCACAGCAATTTGGAAAAAATTCCTCTACTCTACTAACTGGATGCCAAGTTGAGTTCATTTGTTTCATTTTACTTCTTGTTCTTAAGGATTGCTTTTTCCTTTTAAATTTAATTTTGTTTAATAATTATATAAAGGATGCACATGATTCAAAAACTACAAATCTCCAAAGAAATCTAGTTTCCATCCTACTCTCCACCACATTTCCTCCCTCTCTCATGTCTTTATTGTTCATCATTTTTCTTATTAAAAAGACTAACACAGGACTGGCAGAGTGGCTCAAGTGGTAGAGCACTTGCCTAGCAAGCATGAAGCCCTGAGTTCAAACCCAAGTACTGTAAAAAAGTTACTAATGTATATATTAAAAATTCCCTTCATTTCTTAAATAAAAGAATATTTTGTATACCTTTCTTTGTTTTGTTTTTATCACTAAAAAAGAGATCACTCCATAGTAATGTGTAGAACTAGTCTGATTCCTTTTATGGTTTCCTGATTCCTTTACCCTCTCTCCCCCCCACCCCATCTTAGCAGGGCTTCCTCTTCTGTAGCATTCAAGTCACTGCTCAACAGAGACCTTCCTGAAAAAACACCTGCTCTGATCATGCTCTCTGAATACCATTCCTTCTCATCATCTATTTGCCCTGCTTTAT